CTTCAGATATGAATGGCGGTTTTAACGGTGGAGTGACCCATGTCAAAGATAGTCTGAAGGTAGTTAAAGCGAAAGTTATTTGAGTTGTTACTGGGGCTGAGGGTAGGTGAAGTGGTGCAGTTTAATACTTAGGCTATATAGTTTAGGCGGTGCAGTTTAAGGCTAAGTGTTGTTAAGGTGGTGGAATTTGATGCTGAGTATACTTAATGAGTGAAGTTTATGGCTGAGCCTAGTTAAGGCGGTAAAGTTCAAGGCTGTGGGTATTTAAGGTGTAAAATTTAAAAATAAGGGTTATTTATGTTCGTTACTTTGAAAGAATGCTAAGGCACGTCGAGGGGGCGCAGGAGTCAGGCGCTGAAGGGGCAACCGCGAGATGAGGGAGGTGGGCAAATGTTGAGATGGACGCCAGGAAGGCTGCAGCCTATTGAGGATTGTCCCATAAGGAGGAGATGGGGAGGACCGTAGGAAATGGCGGGCAGAAGAAGTGTACCGTAGGTAGCTCCGTGGAGTGGGGGGCAAAAAAGTAGCTCCACACTCGGGGCAAGCCGCGCTTGGGGAGTGTCCCACCAGAAACACGTGTGCACTTTAACAAAAATCACCGTTAAACGGTCTCACCGGCGTTCTAGTGGCCAGCAGACACGTAAAATGAAACACCGTATGACCGTTTTTATTCAAATTTAACACAATAAACCCGTACAACATCTAAGAAAAAAAAACGGATAAACGGTTTATTTTCACGTGGCGGCCGGCCACTACAACGCCGGTGAGACCGTTTTTTTTACCGTTTTTCGAACAGTGCGGGAAGCAAGGTGACTGCAAAAGCCAGACCTCAGCTGTGCTAGCGCGGAGCGGTAGGGGCGAGGGACGGTAGTTGAAAATTAAGGGAGTTAATTTAAAGTTGAGAGTAAACAAGTCGTGGAATTTAAGGTTGAGGGGAGGCAAGGCGGTGCGGCTTAAGACCGAGGTTACTTGAGGCTGAACGTTGTTCGGACTGTGTAATTATAGGCTAAGGATGTGTTTTCAGACATAGGCTAAAGATGCGTTTCTTCAGGCTGTAGTTGTTCAAAAGATTATATGCGACTTTTTATAATTTATATCGCACTGCAAAGGTTTATAAATTACGATATATGAAGGATTTTATGAGTTCTCTTTTTGCATCTGCTGACTTTAGATCTGTATAAACAACTTAATGTTTTTTTTACGAAAAGTAGCAAAATGTAATGAACAGAGTGGTTTTGGTGAGTATTTATTCACTACTGCGAGATCATTTGATTCCGTCAATTCGTACTAAATTGATATTTCTTGTTTATCATCGTCTTCTTATGAGATACTACTTCTCGATTTTTAAAATATTCATAACTTTAATAAGAAAATGTTGCATTACAACCAGCATTTTCTTTCAAACAACTTTGTTACGGTCAGAAAAATATGCGTTTCTTATTGTCAAAATAAGAGACTCCTTTTTTTTACTCGCAGCACGAGTATATATATACTTATCCCTGCCGGATAAGTCATTTTGCCAGGCAAATACTGGGTTAGGATGACCCACGCAAGGTGAAAAAGTGCATTACTATTCGGGAACAGTTTACTCATTTCTTCAAGTGTATATCCATTCTCCCGAAGAACACTGCTATTATTAAAAAAAATTGACGAACTTTAGACTTAGATAGTTGAGATGTTATCTCAAATCACTTGGATTCTTTCACTGCCTTGGTTTCCGTGGCGGGATGCAGATTTTTATGATGATAAGCTGCTAATAGCTGTTGTGATACGTTGCTAATAGTGACGTGATGCAGAATTTTGAACTGATTAGCTGCTTATAGTCGGTGTGATGCGATGATGAACAGGGCAGGGTGGCCCAGAGGTTAAAGTTCAGAGTACCAAGATTGGCGCAGAGAGGCGCGGGTTCGATCCCAGCTCTGTGCGCCAGTTTCTGGTCAGAATCAGCAAGGAGGCCGGGCGGTTAAGCACAGCAGAATTATATATATATAGCAGTGAGCTGCGCGTTCGAGACCGCAAAATGCTGCGAATGTTCTGCGATGTTGAGAATCGGTGACAGGCCTACGGCCTAATAAATATTATTATTATTATTATTATGCTAATAGCGACGTGATGTAGAATTTTTAACTTTTTACTGCTAATAGTTGTTGTGATGCGATGCTAATAGTTGTTGTGATGCAGAATTTTGAACTGATTAGCTTCTAATAGTCAGTGACCTGGAGGCGTAGAAAGCGTGTCATGTGGCGTCGTTTTGCTGTTACGACGAGCTGGGCCGCAGCAGCTGCCTCTGCTTAATTGGTACTCTTTTTAGTAACTTATTATCTTCTGTGACAACAGCAATGTTTACATGGTTGTTGGTGTCAACATCGTTGACTTCAACATTGTTGATTTCCTTGAGAATTCTATTCTAGTCGTTCTGTTTTGATTGCATAGGCTTATTTATTTAAAATTTATGATGGGAAATGCTTTTTTATGTTTTGATGGCATACTTATTTATTTAATTATTTTTAATTATGTTCTAAAGCATAAGTTTCCCATTTTGTGGGAGGAAAGGGCGCAATTTACGAATTTATATTATTCTATGTCATTATTTTACATTTCCCAATGCGATTTCCCCACGCAATTCATGCAAATAAGTCACTAAATTATAAAGTATTTGGAAATATGCTTCTTTCTTTCAACATATTTCGCTTACGTATCTTCCCGTTGTAAACACTGAGAGTTATACTCAGACTATGAGCGTAATATTTCAACAGGCTGTTAAAATGATGGATTTTCTATTCTAATTATGTATTGCCTATTTTAAATAAAATCTAAAATATTAATACTGGATAATCTACTTTGATTGCGGATCTTTTATTTTAATTGTGGATCTTCTACTTAAATAAACATTTATCTTTCTAAATAATAGATCTACCATTTTTATGATTTGAAAACATACCCTGGCTAGAGAATATCCAGCGCGCAATTATTTCTTTTATATTTTTTCGCTCGTTCAAGTCTACGAAAGTATACAGTGAACGCTATGCGTAGATTTATTTAAATAATACCACTTCTCCAAAACATGTTATTTTGTGCGTAAATTTGTTCGAGTGCAATTATTGCTTTTTGTTTATAAAACAGTGGGAAGGTATCAAGTTTGAGTTCATCGCTCCAATTAATTTATTTGCTTATAGAATAGAATAGAATAGAAGTGTAGAGAATAGAATAGAATAGAAGCATTGAAGTATCCGGCCCGAAAATTCACATTCTGTGATAAACTTTGTAGGAAATTTGCCAAGGTGGAGAATTTTCACTGATATATTGTTGTCGTATCTTTTATTCCTGAGTTGTCAAGATGCGAAATTATTCATCTAATAAAAAAATAAGATTATACTCACTGATAGAATCCTTCGCCTATGTTAGGAATTATTGGGATATTTGGCTATTCTCCATTCCTGGCATTTAACTAAGTTTCTCTTGACGCCTTTTTATCCATCACTGCCGGATGCATGTTGTCGCGATTGATAATTTCAATGCTTGAACAAAACAGAGCATTTCTGAGCCGTGCTACGCCTCTAAACGAGCAGGCAGGGAAAGTTACACACAATCTCGCTACTTAACGACCGAAGAAAGCGCTGTTGCGGACCTCGCTGCTACCCTCTGGGCTGAACTTTCCCGCGAGGCAGAGGTCGGGACATATGGCTAAGTGGTTCTTACCTACTTTTCTTTCAGTGTCGAAACGTATACAAATTGGAAGCTATAGCTTCCAATTTGTATAGGTCTCCTCCCCTCCTCTAGGAGACTATAGTCTCCTCCCCCTATCCTCCCCACAATGAAATATCAAGGTTAATTTTGGTTTGAGGATGGAATTTTCTTCTTCGATTTTGTAGTATCTTTAATATTATTGCTGTCAAGAATAAATATAAGAAAATTTGTCATGGTTCACCGAAATTGCCTGCTGTGATTTTTCCTAGAAATTTATTAACCTTTGATTATAAGTTACAATTGTAACTTAAACTTACACTAAAAATTCCTTCAACCGCAATTTTTCCTCTTTAACAAATTATGAATTACAAACAAACGAACTGTCGTTTCATTGCGTGATAAAAAATTGCATTTTCAGATGAAATGCATCGTAATTAAGTGACCGCTCATATGCTGTCTTATTGACACAAACTTTAGAACCGCGTAGTTGTTAGCCGTGAAAATTGAAAGATCAATGCCCCACTTAAATGTCACATACCTCAATGATTCACTCTATGCTGGACTCTATCTACTTGCTTTCGTTTTTCCGCAATAGAACATTCAGAAAAGTTATTGGGTCAAATTGTCCAAGAAGTGACGCTCTTTCTTACCTACAGCACGAGTAGAGAGCGGTTCTATAGTACTGATATAGCGGCCTTTTGCCGGAGTTGGGTCCGGACAACTCAATCAAGGCAAAAACTCTATCGCTATCTGGACAATATCTCCCTCATTTTTCTGAATGAGATGAAGAACATCGTGCGATGTCAGCGGTGGAACTGAATAACGCGACTTTGAGTCCGCTTCTTGCTTGTAATACAACTCGAATTCAGAAACTAGCGTAATCCAGCCGTCGAAAGCCGTCTGATATTTTCATGATTCAGGCTAAAAGAACTTTAAAATTTAGGTCTCCAAAACTAACTGCGGTTAGTTAAGATTAAGTTAATCCAAAAAGATTGTGCAAATTCCGAGCCATGACAATCGTTTCATGCACAAGTCAAATTAATATGTCGTTAATGGAATATTTTCATGATTAATATTGTAATAAGAATACATTTCAACTTGAAAACTTCAGTATAAACAGAATATGATGGTTGCTAATCATTCCAATAATTATTTATATAGAAAGTGGCTCCGGAAAGACGGCCACCTTAGTGTAGGTACCTCATAATCATTCTAGTATATGTATATAATTATATTATAACTTTTTTCAATCATCTTACTTTCAGATTAAATTATTATTTCTTACATTATTCCAGTATTTGTAATATTCCCAGGTCCTGTTCGTCCTCGATCGACGTTCGGAGACCCTTCAGTCTACCCACAGGACGGGGCAGGCGGCCCTCAGTTGGCACCCCACAAGAGACCTCGCAGCAGGAGGAGCGTCGCAGCGGAAGAAGAAGAGACTTCCTTACAAGCTTTATTTTCTTCTGATGATCTCAATGCTCTGCAGCCAGCTGTGTGGTCACGCCTGGTGAGTTATTGATTACCTAATAGTTTCTAATAGGTTTCAGTCTCAATATTTAACATGGTTTCCTGATATTCATTGTAACAGACATAACGACAATTCTTTGATAAAATTATAATAATTGAAACGAGGATTTTTTAAATAATTTTTTAAATAATTGAAACGAGGTTTGCACACTAATGAGTTCTTCACTCTATAATTCTGGTCTCGATTTTTGACGTATGCTATTTAATTTTTAGAACATTTATTGTGTACTTAGAGGGTCTAAATTCAGTATTCAGTATGTTGATCATAATGTAGCTTTAGCTACCTTCATTCGTTTACAATAATATCACAAAACCATGACTTGGCATTGCATGAGCCATCCACAATGCTCGCCTGATGTTTGATCCAGCATTTGTTATTTCTGAGATCTTGAGAGCAGTTTTTGATTTTTTTTTCACAATACATGCGCATGCACGAAATAAAATTTTCGATAATTTTGTCTGCATTTCGTTTTGAATCTGAATTCGTACTTTTATTTACAGCAATAGGAAGATTTTACAGAGAATTGAGCTTTCAGAGTGCGATTTGAGTCATCTTTGTCCTATATAGTATATGTTAAGTATTGCTATTGTATAAATTAAAATTCAGATTTTTTTCAAGTTTTCTTAGAGGGTCAATTTTTTCCATAAGAAACGAGACTGGAGTGGGCTAAGGTGAAGTCCATGACTAGTTCATTTTAATGAATTCCATTCATTTCATTTATAGGTGATGTTCGAGTCTTGTTCCATTAGACAACATTACTACGTACGCGATGAACTTGTTACTTGGCAATTAAATATAAAATATGATTGATTTTCTACAGTTTTCTTCATTTTTAGCGCATTTTCTCATTTATGAAAAAAATGCACTATTGCGCTCACCATGTCCGTCTGTCTGTCTGTCCGTCCGTGACTTCAAGTTTTCGTCGACGAGAGAATGCGCTCTCTGTCACTCACTGCAGTGAGTACTGAGTTATATTTTTTATTATGTTTGTCACTTAAAGACTGACGGACAGCGATGTCTTTTACCATCAGAACGAAATCGTGGACTTTGGCCCCGAGCCTTGGAGCGGCGGCCTGTGGCCGGACGGTCGCGTACCCTACTTGTTCTCTAAGGAGTTTGGTGGGTTACCTTCCTTCATACTTAAAATAAATAATAATAATAATAATCATACAACGTTTGTAGATACTAACACTTATTTTACACAATAACTCTTTCATAACACTTGGCTCACACGTGGGTTACTTATATGCGAGTGAAAAAAATGTTGTATAGGATAGTATATAGCTTCATAGGACACAAATCTAATGAATAAAACAAATAAATGCCGAAAACAGATTGAGATAGTATTAAACATGGGCTGATTCTCACACAGTGACGAATTTGGTTATAGTGGCCGTGTATCTTGAAATTTTATATTGTGCAGAGTTTGAGTAATGTAAAATGAGTGATTGCAGTTGATACTTCCTTTTGTTTGCTAGAACTCATCTTTCAAGTTATTATTGCGATGCTTCACCATTTCCACCATACCGACATCACTGCAGGAGTCCTAAATCATTAGTTTGCCTCAAATTTCCATTAACCCATCCTATCTTTAGAGACTTAAATCCTATTCACGTCAGTGACTTTGAAGGCTGGTATCTTGAATACCTTCTTCTGCCATATACTTCACATTTGAACAGATTTTAACTCAATTTATTCGGTGAGAGAGCCCATAATGGTTTCCATGTCACGATGCATTTGCCTGCAGGCGTCGCTGATAAAAAATATCGATCGTGAATAAAGAAATTATTGTTGAAATTATCAAAGGGCTGACTATTAGTTATTATTAAAGTTATTAGTTACTGTACTTACTGTTACTACTGTAAAGTACTGTTACTGTACTACTGTACTGTTACTACTTACTGTTACTGTAAAGTTATTAGTTACTGTAATATTAATATGTGCCATATTCATATTTTTTTGTCGTTTAGCAGCCAAGTTCATTGAAAAAAAACTTCTTCAAAGCTCAAAATCTTTGATGAAATGACTCGTTCGATGCGACTATTTACAAAAGTCTAATATTTTTCTTCGATTAATGACGATCCATAGCCAACACTATTATTGAAATAGTTTGTATGATACGTCTATAGACTTCTGCTAGGTCAAAATAAATAGGCTAATAGTTAATTTCGTTGCAGATTACCTGCCTGTTGAACGTCTCCTCATAAAGTGGACGATGAAAAACATCGAGGCGAAGTCATGCGTAAAATTTGTGAAGAGAACTTCTGAAGCGGACTACATTAAGATAATTTATGATTCTTATCAGTGAGATTTTGTAATATATTCATTACTTGTGTACATGAAGTGCATGCAGAATTTTTTTGCAATTTTGAGTTTATTACAATTTTTTTTGTTCAAGCGTATGAAAATCGTGAAATTTGTGAATTGATCGTGAATTGACCCATAATATTGCCTGTTAGTTCACATAAAATTCACTGTGAATCATTAATGTAATTTTAAAATTTTCTCTTCATTTTGAATTTTTTGTAGATGTTATAGCAGCGTGGGTAGGGTTGGTGGTGAACAGCCTCTCTCGCTGGGACTGTTCTGCTCTCTAGCATGGGACAGGTGAGAGGGAAGAAGGATGTTGTCCTCTCTAGAGTGGGACATGTGAGAGGGAAGAAGAATGTTGTTGTATGTTGCCAACAAGTATATATTGATGATACTATAATCTATATCATTATAAACTTTACTATATTTTGTGTCACTTGTCCATTATACTCATCATCTGTCACTTGCACAAATATTGTTTATTTTCAAACCTAAATGGTTAACAAAATCAAAAGGGTGTTCAAGTGCTACATTGTGATAATCCTAGAATAAACTGTAATTTACCACGTGCATTTATTTTTAAACCTAAATGGTTAAAAAAAATCAAAAGGTATTGAAGTGCCACATTGTGATCGCCGAGAATAAAATTTAATTTACCACGTGCAGAGGTAATATTTACCACGAGCTGCTACACGCGCTTGGGTTTTACCACGAACACACTCGTCCTGACCGCGACGAGTTCGTAGACATTAAGTGGGATAACATCAAACCTGGCAAGGAGAAAAACTTCAGGAAAGACGAACGCTGGGCGCATAAACTTCTACAGATGCCTTACGATGTCGGTGAGTTATCACGCTGGTCGGAGCTGGCATGTTAAAAATTATTACTGATAGGCCGTGGACTGTCGCTCTGGCAACCTTATCGAAGTCATTTATTCTTTTGGCTAAAATTTTACGATTTTTCGCACAGTTGGATTACGAAAAGCTGAACAACCTCTACGAATGCCCCACGCATAGTGAGTGTCACGATCAAATATTATTGCTTATTATTATTATTATTATTATTGGATTGTTGTAGCATCTATTGGCATCCAAAATGATTCATATTCAGCTTTCACGAAAGATATTTAAAAATTTATATTGCTACAGAATGCATAGAACAGTATACATGTTTATAATTATTAAATAAATGAACCTGTATTGCGAGTTATTTAAATCCAGGAGTAAACGGGGCAGCGAAATAATATCGTTTTTTTTATTTCATAGGTAATCGGCGTTCACGGATGAACAGGCATAAGAGCCGCAGGAAGACAAGAAACAGAAACCGTAGAAGCAAAATACACAAAAAATGGAGGCAGTCTGAGAACTTTTTATCTTCTCTGCTTCAGCCACCTCCTCCTCTGCCAAGTGGTGGAGACCAAAATTATCAAACCAGTTTTCAGCGGCGATGGGGAATACAAAGTGAGCAACTGGCCGACGACAGTCGCTTTCATCCATCTGCTTTGTAAGATGGCGCAGACGAAAATTATCATGCAAGTTTCCAGCCCCGCTGAGGGAGACAAAGTCAACAGGTGGAAGATGCCAACCAACTTGAACCACCCGTCATGCCCAGTGACTTAGAGCGGGACTGTACGGCTTACTAAGTCGATGGGGAGACCAAGAGCGCAAATGGCCGGCGTCCATCGCCTTCAACTATCTGCTTTGTAAGATGGCGGAGAACTGAAAATATCAGGCCAGCGTCCAGCAATCAAGCCAGCGTGCAGTAATCAAGCCAGCGTCCAGCACTGCCGGAGGAGGCAGGGTGAACAAGTGGAAGACATCAGCCGACACCTGTTCGATGCAGGCGACTCCCCGCATCACCGATGGCGAGGCATGAGTTGGGAGCGCAGCCGTGCACCACCAATTTTGTGCACCAATAAGCCCTGAATCGAACGCCTTGTATCTCTCTGGACATCCACCAATCAGCCGTGAACCACTCGGCTTTGTCCTCCTCCGGCCTTGCGTAGAACCTACCGTGCACCACCAGGCCGCGGATCGAATATGACTTCCGGGCATCGTTGAATTACGTAATTTTACGTTCACCGCATCTAAGGTTAGGTTTCAGATAGCATAGTTCTGTTCCAAAATTCATCGTCCTTCGACAAGTGGCCGTTCGACCGAGGGCTGGTTCGACGCACGGCCTAGATACGGACGGCTTGAAATGTTGAAGGCTACGTTCCGGAAGGCAGGAATCATGATGGTCCATTACATCCAGGGCAGTAGTGGTCCTCGGCAGGCAACCCCATGAGTTAATGGCTCCAATGAAGGTGCAATTTTTTTGCTCATGTATGCTTTTATAGCAAAAGGGGAATATCCGTATATACTCAAGCTATTTACCAAAGAATAAATGTCATTGATGATGTAAGGCTGATGTGGAAAATATTGCCGATGGTAAGTGATGATGTAGGGCCGACTTTTGTCTAGTTATTTGCAGAGAATTAATGCCAGATAAAAATGAATATAAAATTAATTCAGGACAACTTTTTTGAGGAACATTAGTGAGCATCGTCACATTTTGTATTTTATTTATGTATATATATTTTTTATGCGTTCAAAATGTTAATTTAGTTTCTTGAAGCAATGTTTGTTCAACGAGGAGGACTGAAAGCTGTAGAGGTAAATTAGAATCTTTGCTCTTTGTCGGATTACGATCATTTCTCTTCTACCAACAATTTTAATTCGAATGAATTATTTCGTGTTATTTTATACGGACAAGTAACTATTAATGTTTCAGCCCGTTGGCGAGAGAACAGTTAGAAACGAAACGTTTTTTTTTTCGACTCGTCTGCAAAGGATGCAACCATAAGCTTAGTTACGAAATTGAAGCCATGAGTAACTACATTAAGTTATGAATGAGGTATATTCATCACTGGCGTCAAATCGTTTTTCTTGGTTCGGCAGATAGAATAAAAACTGTAATGAACTGTTGGTTCGTTGTTCAAAACATGGGAGCAGTGATATTTCGCCAAAAAAATTTCAGTAAATACGTTCATTTTGCCTAATCCAATTTATTCTCTTAAACTCTTTTTCTACCAGTTTTCTATAATAAAATGAGTGCGGACACGTCGTCAAAATGATGCACTTGCGAACCGAAGCAACTCTGCAATGCCGCACTTAACTAACGCAGATTGAGCCGGTGTCCTGTACATACACTCAAAAATGAAAGTTAGCCAATCATGTCATAATAGTAACACTTTCTGCATGTGGCACTCCGTCGGGCTTAACTGGTTCAAGATGATCCAAATAAGAGCATAATGCTCATAGCTGTTTAGACGAAGTCTCGCTGATTTCTCTGATTGTGGGGGTGTTTCTTGGACAGGGGGGGGGCGTAGACGGCGAAGTAGACACTTTATGCAGTGATGAAATATAATGGTGAATTGCGATCATCATCACGCGGAGAAGAAGACATCATCTCAAGTCTGGAGTTGGTTTATTGTGATTGTGAGCGGAGAGATGCCAACTCTCCCGTAGCAATCTTGAACATCGTCGTACGAATCCTACAAACGAACTTTACACGTTAATGAACATATTTACAAATACAAAATATAGCTTCATCTAGTTTAGAAGTTAGAAGGCCTCGTTCATTTTGTGTACAAAAATTTTTCTTTTTGTTGAGTTTTTCATAGAATCACTGGGCCACAATTTGGCAGGATATAAATTGCTAGAATAATTGCTGATAATCGACGAAGTGTTTGCCTTCGAACTTGCCAAGATATCCTCACTACGGAGAAAGTTTGTACAGAACGCCTGGGGCCGGATTATCAAAACTTCGTAACTTTTTATACTTACGACAAAAGTTATGTGGTACGTAAGTACACCCTAATTTTGGCATTATCAATATTTTCGCACGCAAGTCTTAGCTAAAAGCGTAAATGTTTTTCCCGCGCAAATGTTTTGATAATACCACCGCTAGTATTAGGTACGTTGTCATAGCAACGCCACTCGTAAGTCGATTTTGCGTACTTACGAAGTTTTGATAATACGGCCCCCGGTCTCCACAGGAGAACTGGCTGTATGGAGGCACCTTTAGTGAAATTTACAAGAAATGCGACTTACAGGCGATGATAAAAAGCATGGTAGTGCTTGCCTCCAGTAACGTCCAGCGCCAACGCATCAGCCAGCCTCCCTTTATATTCACAATTTAAGATGAAATCTCAAACAATGCAAAACAAAATAAGGAACAATTATTCATAGAGAAGCTTCAATAAAATTTTTCAACGCGTTCGGGCACCAAAACCCATTAAACGAATCGGGTAATTTTTTCCACAGAATTGCACAGCAGATGTGAGTTTGAGCACCTGCTATAACCTATATAACACGTTAAAGAGTCGAATAAACGCTAGGCAACGAGCTTGTGCTCTTCCCTGAGTACAGTTTTAACAGAAGAAGGAAATGGCTTGCATCGTACCTATCTCACCAATTGATTTGATCACAGTTAGCATCTGGGAATTGCACAACCAATAATTCCTTATAAATTGAATAACTAGTTTTTTTTGCTGAAATATAAGGTCACCATGTTATCTTTTAAAAATTAGCTTACCATAAATAAAAGTTGCCATACTTCCCAATGGGAACATTAAAAGATAAATTCTAAGGTAAAGCCAACATAGAATACGACTGAATAACTGAACTAAATTTGGTCGATTACCGCGTAACTAGAAGGGGTTATTTATATATTTAAATCCTTATACAAACTGACCTGGATGTAATAAATCGACAATGGAACAATCCAAATGAGACGAAATGATATTTCACATTACCAAGAACTGAGATAAATCAATTACTAAATCAATAGACGACACGCTATTCGTGCACTTGGCTGCTCATCGTGGACCTTTGAACTCGAGCTCAGTAAATTCGTACCTGAACATCGTGTCATCTTACAAAAACCAACGCAAATATTACGTATCAGGTATGATGAAGTCTTGCATTGAACAGTTTGGAATTATATTCCTGTATACAAATTCGTCACTGCAAAGAGATAATGTAAATTTACAAGATGCTAAGCTCGAGCATCAAAGTTTATATATACAGAATTCAGAAAAGAACACTCGCCAGACAGGCAGACTGTTCGAACGGACGATATCGAGCGGCAATTTTTTTCTTTTTTAATTAATTTTGTTATCTTAAGAGAACTGAAACTCCAGGATGAAAAAGAAACGAGTTAGGAAGTCACAGGTGAGAAAATATTAATTCATCAAATAGTGATAACAATAGGCAGCAATCACGAATTACATGGTAATAGTGAGTACAGAAATGATGGTCATGTGGGAGCATGAGAACCAAAGTAAAATGTACAGATGAACAGCAGCAGCCCTAGGGGACATAAACCAACATCCTTAAGACTACTTTGAACCGTGGGCATAGCGCTCAGCGCTGCATAGACCAAGAGTGTCGAGAGAAGAGTGCTACTTCATTTCACAAAAATATATACATCTAGACAGCGACTAACAAAAAATTGTCATAACTTGCATGGTCCATGAGACTTCGAAACAACTAGTATTTAAAAGAAGACTCACTGTGAAAGCAACTGTTTGAAATGTAGCTCAATATTAACCTCTCATTAGTGAATTGTGAAGAAACTAGCGCATATCCCTTGACTGTAAGTTCACGAGTCACAACACTGAGCTAACTCCTTCCACTTAGAGAAAGAAAGAGAGCGAGAGTACCTAAGTGAAATTAGCACCATACATTACTACACGTATGAAAATACTAGTTATGGCAATACAAAAATCTGGATTGCATGGCCTCAACGCGAAGTTCTAGTGTCCATATGGATCACAGTGCCAGTAAATTCCACTGAGTTTGATTAAAAAAAAAACCTCTCGCACAATGGGTTCATAGCCTCTACGCACATTTACAGAATACTGGTTGATAAAACTTGCTTCTTTACGTGATGCATGGTCCAGAACAATTCACTACTTCAAGAATACACGTATGTCTCTGCATAAACACTCTTGACTTAATGAAAATCACTGCCTATAGCGATGCTTGGCCGTCACTTATACAACACTTGGCAATAGCATACGCACATCGCTAGCATGCCTATTCACGGATTCACTGCTTACATACTAACTAGTTTATATAGGTAATCTAAATAACCGATTGAACTTCTTGAAGACACCACGATTTGAACTCGATTCACTGAACTTCAAAATACACTCAAGGGTGTGGGATGTCCCATTACGATGAAGCACTTGCGTTCTTGGAAGGAGGTTCAAGAATCGTAAAAGTGTAGTGGTTGTAGGAACCAAATGGTGGCGAGGATGGCTTGTTGATGATATGCAGCAGGGTTTTATTTGGTCTTAGTCCATCGCTGAGCCCCATAAACCAGTTGTGGGTAGCGAGAGATGCACTGTCCGTCACGTATTTCTGCACCCAACTGTTGTGGAACCGTCGGAACTGAGACCGCTTTCGCACAGACACCGGTCCGTGACACTGGAAAATGCAACCATTTTTTACGAATAGCACATAAAAACAAAAAAACATACTTTGCTACAAATCAATGAATCACTTTATCAGATACAATATAGGTCATGATGATATCGATATTGAGACCAAAAATTTCAGTTCGCAAAAACAAAGACCAAAGATATTTCTGAAAAATGATTCAAATTCGGAATAAAACAGAACAAATGTGGACATGAGCTTACCTTTTTCGCTCTATAGAGAGCTTGCTTTTTGTACATGCATGAATCACTGTTCATGACAATTACAGCTTTCAAGTTGGAGAGGTTGAACTTGCACTGAGTGTTGTCTTCCCTGTGAACAGCCGGACTGAAAACAGACATTACGATGAGATAACAAATGAAATGGAGCACGAAATACACGGATGAACCTAGCTGCTAAGTTCCACTAACTTCTCAAGCAATACCAATCAGAAATTATTAATTACGTGAATTTGGATCATTTATCATTTACAAGATAATTTGACTTTCAATGAAACCGGCAGTAATTCACGGGAAAGGTTTTTTTTACCATATCAGAGTTCAAACTTTCAGCAAAATTCATGTCCATGTAAAACAAGGGCTCAACTCGTATAAAGCACTAAACGTCAACTAGATAGTCGCCCACAACTAAACTTCAACAATCTGTGGGCAACTAAAAACTACTTAAACGAGTAGTTGGGGCTAAAACTAATTCTGACTATGGAACATTAAATCTGTACAGAGAAATGGTCAGTCATGTGAACGTGTTGCTATGTTTTTCGGGGCAGGAAATGTCTATCCCTAACAATGGTATTTGTAGTGCTACATAAACAAAGACAGTTACTCACAGGTAATGACTTTCTTCAGTAGTCAATGCTTTAGTCTATAAGACATTGATTACTTCATCAGGGGCAAAATTATATTAAATCAGTTTAGTAAACGTAGCGGCCGATTTCCCGTCTGTGATTGACCAATTTATCTTTGAAAAATCATCAGTTATTTGCTTACGGGAATACAAACTTCCAAGTACTATACATAATTTAGACCCAGGCAATGACCTTACCTTCTTTCACTGCTATCTTGACTTCGTTTGAGGGTCTGGCGCCAGGAGGCAAGATTGCGCATCCGGAAGACGGCTTTCTCGAACAGATGCGCCGGCAGAGACGAGTCCTGTCATTGAAAAGTCACGCTTGAAAATTTGCTAAATCTAAAAAAATCGTAAAACATGGTTTTGGGATGAGAGAAAATATTTCAAGAGCTTATTAGCTGCAACTTCACATGAAAATAGAGCCTTTTATGATCCTATACAGAAACGAAAGCATCAACATACAAATCACAAGACATCACCATGCCCTGCCGCGGAATGCAAAATTCAGAGGCAAAATACACAATTACGATTAGAGTGACATAGTGTGAGAGATGATTATTAGAGTGACATAGTGTGAGAGATGCTTGTAACAAAGTTATGCTCACCAGAGTGTATGTAGAGAGATAGTTCTCGACATACTCGTGCCACCGCTGCGCCTCGGCCACACCCGAGGGCAGCGTGGGCGACGCTCCTCTAGAACACCAAGTGCTGCTCTCTCCTGAACACAAAACAAAAACCGTAACTTTCGCAGTTCCATGAACCTTACTGGAAACTGGTATATACTTATCTGCTTTTCAGATTCAAACATAATGAATAAATGAGACTAACTCCTGTACAATTATCCAACGTAAATTGCATCACCTACATGCCAATGCCCACATGATGAGGCCGGGTGCTTCTTATTTCGATGCTACCTTTTAAATGTAATAATGAAGAGCACAACTTATGCTATAATTGAGCGACAGGGAATAATGCTAAAGATGCGCATCAAGCTAAAAAGCTGCGATGCGACATCCACGCGATATCTCCAGTCTTACGAGTGCTGTGACACTGCCTGCTTAATCTACAATTACCAAACACAGATACCGAGCGATAATACTCAAAATAAAATTATACGACAGTAAAATAAAACAAGTATTGGTGCAGAACCTACCAGCGGTGGGAGAAACGGAGGACACGGCCGTGGTGGTGACGGTGGTGGTGGTGGTGGCCACTTCGCCGGACGAGGCAGCGTTGTTGCCGCCGGTGCCGCTCGCGTTCTCTTCGCTGTCGTCCATGTCAGTGTCCAGCAATTCTATCGTGAGGGTTCCTCTGCGTTTATACTGTAAAAAAAAACCTGCGTCAAAATTTTGTCGCAACATACAGGGAGACGAGAACTCTAATTTTCTTCAAATAGAGGATAAAAACTGGAAACAATTTTTGTGAGAACATCTAAAACGAAACAGACATAATGAACACAAGGCACAAACTGGTATTCAAAGCATCGATGCTTAAGTGTAATTTATGCACCCATTTTTTACCATTCTACAATAATGGTCATTTCTAGCCAAAAATTACCTTAACCACCTCGGAGCGACGTTCAACTGTACGTCTATACCTCTAACTCAATTCTCTTGACCACACATCTACCTGAGAACATCTCAACCACACATCTACCTGAGAACATCTACACCACACATCTACCTGAGAACATCTCAACCACACATCTACCTGAGAACATCTCAAACACACATCTACCTGAGAACATCTCAACCACACATGTCAATGAGAATATCAAGACCACGCATCTCACCGAGTATATCTTGAAGCAGTTCTCGTCGGCGAGGTACTTCTCCATGTTGCGAATGTACTGAAGCTCTAGTGGCGCCCTGGCGTCGGCGGAGGCAAGGCTGCCGCCTGCGCCACCGCGCCGCCCCTCGGCCAAGTATACGCTGGTGCACTGCGCCGGCGCCTCGTCGCACACCAGGTGCTGCAGCTGTCGTACCGCGCCGCTCACCACCTGTGTGTTTAAGGGGCACGTTGAGGGGCCGAGCACGTGTTTCTATAATATCTTCATTGTCTTTTTCACCCCGAGAGCGATGAAGGAAGCGGATAAGGATTTCAGACATGGGTTTCTAACGTATCTCACTCGCCTGGAGTGGTGTTCAAGGAGGTGAATAAGTAAACCATTACATGTATATATATTGCCAAGTGGTATAAAAAATTCACTTGACCAAGTATTGTCAATATTTTCTGGTTAAAACTCGAGGACTAGGTTATGAGGTCAATGCAAGCCATTTGCATTAAATCGGACAAGTAATAGTAAGCTACTACGTGTAACTGGTTTAAAACAGGACTTTAAAGTTATCAGTATGCCGAACGTGGGTTCAAATATGGTACATGGGGCACACATGCATTCACATTTCACCCGACACATGTTAAAAAATATCTAAATCGTTTAGATTTTGTACAAAGAAAGCGGAAGTGTTGCAGTCAAGCCACATTCTTTTCTGCTAAAGAAATAACGTCTTAGAGGCGACCGTTGCAACACGGCAGAGGAACTTACCTTATCGAGCGTGAATGCGTGGTAGGCGTGTATGGTGAAGATCTCTCTGAGCGAGTCCTCGTACGTGTTGTAGTCCAAGTGGCCGTCCAGCAAGTTACGTACCATCTCGAGCACCGCGGGGTAGCACGCTTTTAGCGGAATTTCACCTGAAAATTTTTTAAAATCACAATTCTGACACATATAGAATTGTTTAGTTAAGAAAATCAATCCACATAACTGATCTCAAATAGAGTAGTAGTAGTAGTAGTAAAAGATTTACTAGCGCTTCAGATAGCAATCTATTTCGCGCCGGAGGTGAGGTCTTCAGCTACGTCAAAAATGTTTGGTCTCTTCCGTCAGCAAGGCTTCACTATCAGATACAGAGGTGTTGCACTGCTCGGCATGAAAACGTACAACAGAATGAGGTGGATGTGCAAGTAGGTTCCCCGTTCCATAACTCCTGCCCTTATGCTCAGCCAGCCTAGTAGTATAGAAATTGCGTGCCGTCATACCGACGTACGCTGATGCGCACTGCGCACAACTATAT